GTGTGGGTGTTTTACCTACATGTATGTCTGTGTACCTCATGTGTGCCTGGTGCCATGGTGGTCAGAAGAAGGCACTGGGTGCCCTGGAAGTGGAGTTATAGATGGCTGTGAGCTGCCATGTGGGTTTTGGGAAATGAGCTGGGTCTTCTGCAAGATCAACCAGTCTCTTCACTGTTGAACCATCTCTCCAGCCCATGGAGAGTTCAAACAGTTCCACTTAACACAGAGCAGGTTTAATAAATGCTTGGACAATGGCTTGACCACAGTCAGAATGTGGGAGATCAGGTTCCAGGGCAGGTGGATGTAATACAGGGAAGGGGCTATGTGTGGACATGTGATCAAAGAGGCAGGGGAGCCAGGGGCTCACACGGATGACAATCAGCAGGTCTGGGAGGTGATGGGATCCCGAGTCCAAGAAGGACATTGGGTTGTGAGGGTTTCTACTTCTTTCTGTATCTTTGTATGAGCACAACTCTCTTTTGGGTTTCTTTCTGTGGGTGTACATGTCCATACACTTGTACATGTGGAAGTCAGAAGACAAGCTCAGATGCCATGGGGTGCATCTGCTTATATATGGACCTGAGCCCTCAAGCACCTGTCATAGTGTCCAGGTTCTTGTGTTGCACAGCAAAGACTTAGACCAAGGACACATGGTTAGAAATGAGGACAGAGACAGTTTATTGAGAAGAAGAGAACACACCTGAGAGCCGGAGTGGGCTAGTGAGCTGAGGAAAAGCCCAAAACGGAGAATCCTGAACCATGTAACTCTTTATAGGGCTTTAACATGGCACCTGCTCCATCCATTTTAGGTAATCCAGATGTTCCTTAAGCTGTCTGTGCGATAAAGTCCAGATGACAAAAGGCTTCTTTTAGGTTGATCTTCTGTCACAGTTCTACCTTTTGCTAAGGCAGGGTCTCTTATTAGCTTGCGATTTTGCCAAATAAGCCAAACTAGCCAGCCAACAAGTTTCCAGGGACCCACTTATCGCCTCCCACTTTGCTGTTGCTGGGGTACAGGCACCACACTGGGCTTTTTGCATGGGTTCTAAGGATGGAACTCCTGTCCTTACATTTGTGAGGCCAGTGCTTTTACCAAATGAGTCACCTCTGAAACATGTGTCTGCTTAAAAATAACAAAACAACTTCTGTTACATTTATTTACTTTGGCATGTGTGTACACACATGTGCCATGGCACATGTATGGAGGTCAGAGTGTGAGTCTTGGGTAACAAACTTGGTCTTGGCATCAAGCCTCTTTAACTGCTGAGCTATCTCACTGGCCCATTATTTGCTTTTTTTGAGACGAGGTATTACTCTGTGGCTCAGACTGGCCTGGAACTCCCTATGTATCCTAGGCTAGTATCAAGTCAGTGGCAATCAGTTAGCCTCCAAAGCACGAGGAGTTGCAATTACAAGTATGTACTACCTCATCCAACTGGTTACAACTCCTGAATGGAGAAAGCTCAATCCCTTGCTTCTAGCCACACCTTACTTAGGCAACCCTCTGAATCCCAGGAAGAAAGGAATTACTCACATGTGTGTACCCATTAATATTCTCTCTCTCTCTCTCTCTCTCTCTTTCTCTCTCTCTCTCTCTCTCTCTCTCTCTCTCTCTCTCTGTGTGTGTGTGTGTGTGTGTGTGTGTGTGTATGTGTGTGTGTAAGCTAGAGTGACAGGGAAGAGAGGAATAACTTACATGTGTGTACCCATGTGTCTGGTGTGTGTGTGTGTGTGTGTGTGTGTGTGTGTGTGTGTGTGTTTGTGTGTTTGTGTGTGTAAGCTGGAGTGACAGGCCATAGGGAGCTAGTTCTGGGAGTGGCTCTGGATCAAAGCAGAAAGTACTATAGGTAGATGACACTCAGCCAACAGATGTGATAACACTGGACACCCAGACACAGGGAGAGCTCATCAGAAGGCCACCTGAATACTCAACCTAATCGAAGCCCAAGGTGGGGCAAGAGAAATGATGAAGCAAACTAATTAAGACCTGTGAGCCAAGCTAACAACAAAAGATATCTTCCTGAATGTTAAACCCTTGAGCTAAGGCCTGGGAGATGACTCAGTCGGCAAAGGCGCTTGCTTGGCAAGCCTGGAGATCCACAACCCGCTCCACAAAGTTGGCCTTTGGTCTTGGCTTTCACTTGTGGTATGTGCTATCTGCCCCCCCCATATATATTAGACTTAAGGGCTGAGACTATATTTCAGTTGGACCATGCTTGCTTAGCATGAAACTCTGGGTTTGACAAACCACCTCATAAAACATGTATGATGGCACACACTTTTCTTCTTTTCCTTCTTCTTTTCCTCCTCCTCCTCCTCTTCCTCCCCCCTTCTCCTCCTCCTCCTCCTCCTCCTTCTCTTCCTCCTCCTCCTTCTCCTCTTTCTTCCAAGACAGGGTTTCTCTGTTTACAGTCCTGGCTGTCCTATAACTCGATTTTTAGACCAGGCTGGCCTCAAACTCACAGAGATCCACCTGCCTCTGCCTCCTGAGTGCTGGGGTTAAAGGCATGCACCACCAGCACACACTTCCTATCCAAGCTCTTGGGAGGTGGGTGTAGGAGGAACACAAATTCAAAGTCAGTCTTGGCTTCAAATGGAGTCTGAGGTTACCCTGGGCTACTTGAGACTTGATCTCAAAACCGAACACTTCTCAGAACTCTCCAGATACTCCCCCCACCCCAAACAGCATCCTGCTTACCATCCCAGTTTCTCCAGATGCACTTATTATGTAAACTACACCCTTGTCTCAAAATTCTGCCTGCTTTTCTTTCTTTTCTTTTCCCATCCTTCTCTTCCTGCCTTTGAGGCTGGCCTCAAATTATCTCTAGGTAAGGATGACACTGAACTCCTGATTTTCTTGTATCCACCTCCCAAGTGCTGGGATGATAGCTGCATACCATCATGCCAAGTTTATGTGTTGCTGGGGATAGAACCCAAGGCTCTTTGTGTGCTACAGAAGCATCCTGCCAACTGACCTATAACCTGGCCCTAAAAATGCTCTTAACTCTGGGTCCAGCAGACGTCATTCCAGTAGTTCTCTAGCCCTTCTTCTGGAACGTTCAGGATGCTGCTCCAGGACTCACTTCTATTATCTAGCTAGCAATGCAATGGCTCGGTATCCCAGGCTGGTCTGGAACCCAGAAGCCTCCTGCCTCTATCTCTGGAGTACTGTCTATGAAGCCCACAATGCCCAGCTCAAAGAGCCCTTATACATCAGAGACCATAATTTTGGTTTAACATCCTCTATGGGTAAGATCTCCTGTGAGGCGCACCTGTCCCCATGGGGTCTGTGAATTGACCTACTTAAGTGACACCTTTTATTTGCTCAGCTGGGCTGAGACCATCAGACAGAATGCTCTCAGCTTCTTCACATGGAGGGAGTACCCTCCATAGTCACGTTCCTCAACAACCCACAAGCTCTGTCAGGAGACGTCTGAGGCCTTGACTGCCTTTATGACCCCTAAGTAGAGATGTCCTGCCCCACAAAAGGCAGAGTCCCCACCATGTTTCCTTTTTTTCCCTCCCTTCCGTTCCTCCTTCTGTTTTTCCTCTCTTTTCCCCAAATCCAGGCTCTGCTGAGAATTTTCTAAGTGCAAGATAACAATGGATAACGATGCTTGCTGTCAAGACTGATCATTTCAATTTCATCCCCAGGACTCACTGGTTGCAGGAGTGAACTGAGTCCTACTATTGTTCTTTGACTTCTCACAGTGTGCAGTGGCATGTGCACACAGGAACACACATACACACACACACACACACACACACACACA